TTGCACCTTTGCTCTGATCTGCATCTTTTTGAAGCAGAACACATTATATGATACACTGCTACTTGTCATTTGTGGTACAAAAACGTGTCTGCTCTGAAAAATGTCTGCTCTGAGAAATGGTCAAAAAACAGAAAAGGGCCGGAGTCACTAATACAAAGCATTTGCTGGTTTCACTGGTTTCCATAGTGATTGCCCCCATTTTTGTACATTAGGTCACCTTATACAAACTCCTAATTTAGCTGGCAAAGTCCATTCATAACACGACATCACTAAGAGCTGCTGTCATGTGATATCTGGTAATGGAGAAATAATCTGTATAAATAATGTAAATGTAGATTACAGGCACAAAACATGATAACCGAATGCATTAATCCCAAACATGATGTAAAGAAGTTGATAAGTGAGAATGAGATTCCATTTCACGCTGGTTCAGACACTGATACAATGTAGCATCGCACAGAGCAGGTACCGAGACTCAAACCGTTAATAGAAGCTATAAAGGAGCCGGTTAAGGGAGGCAGGGTCTGCACAATGTGAACGGGCAGAGAAAGACGTAAAGTTTCCAGCTGTGACGTCTGGCACAGACAGCTGAGGATTATCGATGTGTCATTTTTGCAAATCACTGCAGTTATAAGTCGCAACTACTGTGTGTGTAAAAAGCTGGGGCAGGGGTGCTTCTTACACCAAATCCAATGCAAGGAGCGCAGGATGATATGGTGCCACTGTTTAAAATTAAAAAGAACAATTGTGTGAATTGCTTCCTATAAGACAATGCAGCACATACGTGGAACCCCTTTTTCGTTGCTCCACCGCCAAACGGGATGCGTGGCACAAGAAAATACTGCGCGCACACAACAAAACACTGCGCACACAACAATATACTGCACACACAACATAATACTGCGAACACAACAAAATAGTGCACACAAAACAGAATACTGCACACACAACAAAGATGCAGATAATATACATGTGTTATATGGGACTAAACAGGTATTGTAATATGAGGAACCGGCTCTCAGTTCTAGCAGTGGGCTCACAGTCATGAGAAAATGGACTAACTTGTAACAGCAGCTCCGCGCCAAATGTAGGTGTTCTTTCCACCAGGTGTCCCTGTGTTGGTGCACTGCAGGGGTCCTTAATGCAGGAAACGCTACCTGGGTAAACAAAGGTAATAATGCTGATATATATTAGTAAAGTACTTCTCCATAGTATCTTCAGACAGCTCTGGAATGCTTCCCCTTTAGCCTCCTGGCACGCAGCACCGCGCTATATTCTCTGCACGCAGAACCGAGCTATATTCTCTGCACGCAGCACCGAGCTATATTCTCTGCACGCAGCACCGAGCTATATTCCCTGCACGCAACACCGAGCTATATTCCCTGCACGCAACACCGAGCTATATTCTCTGCACGCAGCACCGAGCTATATTCTCTGCACACAGCACCGCGCTATATTCTCTGCACGCAGCACCGAGCTATATTCCCTGCACGCAACACCGAGCTATATTCCCTGCACGCAACACCGAGCTATATTCTCTGCACGCAGCACCGAGCTATATTCTCTGCACGCAGCACCGCGCTATATTCTCTGCACGCAGCACCGAGCTATATTCTCTGCACGCAGCACCGAGCTATATTCTCTGCACGCAGCACCGCGCTATATTCTCTGCACGCAGCACCGAGCTATATTCTCTGCACGCAGCACCGAGCTATATTCTCTGCACGCAGCACCGCGCTATATTCTCTGCACGCAGCACCGAGCTATATTCTCTGCACGCAGCACCGAGCTATATTCTCTGCACGCAGCACCGAGCTATATTCTCTGCACGCAGCACCGAGCTATATTCTCTGCACGCAACACCGAGCTATATTCTCTGCACGCAGCACCGAGCTATATTCTCTGCACGCAACACCGAGCTATATTCTCTGCACGCAGCACCGAGCTATATTCTCTGCACGCAACACCGAGCTATATTCTCTGCACACAGCACCGAGCTATATTCCCTAAATGCAGCCCCGAGCTATATTCTCTGCACACAGCACCGAGCTATATTCCCTGCACACAGCACCGAGCTATATTCTCTGCACGCAGCACCGAGCTATATTCTCTGCACGCAGCACCGAGCTATATTCTCTGCACGCAGCACCGAGCTATATTCCCTGCACGCAGCACCGAGCTA